CGGTAAAATCCACTTGCTCTTGCTAGCCAGAACTCTGTTTTACAATAGGGATAATGCTCCTAGGTACTTCTGTTGCCACGGTATTGTATGTCCTGGCAGTAGGACTGGTGGCTTTAAATGCTGTGGCTCTAAATGACCCAAATAATAATCTTTTCACACTAACTGCACCCCAAAAAGGGCATTAATGTTCCCTTGATAGTGGTGCTCATCCTTAAGTTCTGTTCCTTCCCACTCTTTGCTGGGCTTGCTTACAGAAAGCAGAGTCTGGACAAAAGAGGTCCCTTCTGGTCCTTACTTCGTCTGCCCTGATCACTAGCAACAGGACAGTAAGGTTTCTAAGAGACAGAAAGAAAATTCTGAGGAGGGCCTTAGATACCACCTTTACATACGATCCAAAAGAGAACATTCAAGTGCATTAAATAGCCTTAACCTAGCCTAGCTTTGTATAACCTGGATGGCTCTATAGCAATCACATCTGCTTATTTCTCTTTGGTTAAACAAATGCTAACCTTTGATCTGCAAGTATGTTTGAACCATAAGCCTTTTTTTTTCTTTAAGTGAAAACTTTTTAAAGGGTTATCTTCCACATCTTGTCATACAGAAGTAAGTTTCTGTCAGTATTAACACACTTTTCAAAATATTTACGTTCACATATAGTTACCCTCATAGGCAGATTTTGCTCTAACAGCCACACTAACTAACCTGGGATAGTTGTAAACATTCAGAAAGTTTGCCTCAACAAAATTCCTGAAATATGAATACAGTTTCTGAATATAACTGTTAAAATTAACAAAATACAAGCAACGATTTAATATTGCAGATAACAGAATTTTTCTTTCTCAGGAAGACTATGATCGTCTGAGACCTTTATCTTATCCTATGACCGATGTCTTCCTTATCTGCTTCTCAGTGGTAAACCCTGCTTCATTTCAAAATGTGAAGGAAGAGTGGGTACCGGAGTTGAAGGAATATGCACCTAATGTTCCCTTTTTACTAGTAGGAACACAGGTATATCTGGTTCTGTTCTACTTTATTTAAACAATTCAGCTCATTGTATGGTGCCTTTTCTTTGGGCTGGAAGTGGCAGAAAAAACGAGGTCTGTGCTGTCCTCTAATGAGCTACCTCCATTTTGTTAAAATATATGCATTGTAAGCAGGGTGGCAAGATTGGCTGCATCTCTCCATGTGACTTTCTATAAAGTCATGGGACTTAGGGAATAAAATTGTCTGTTCATACCCATGTTACTGGAAGTACATGGGTCTACAGCTACTGGTCATATGTAATATTTGCTGAAGCAAAGGAGCAAGGGGAGAAGTGAGACAGAGGAGGCCTGCATGGATGAACAAGGAGCTCCTGGACAAACTCAGACACCAAAAGGAAGCCTACAGAGGGTGGACGCAAGGACAGGTAGCCTGGGAGGAATACAGAGAAATTGTCCAAGCAGCCAGGAAAGCTAAAGCCCTGATAGAATTAAATCTGGCCTGGCCAGGGAAGGGCAACAAGAAAAGCTTCTCTTCTGCCTCAGGCTTCACCGGCAAGTGCTCAAGCCACACCATCCACATCGCAGAAGGCAAAGGCAGGAACTGGGAGAATGAAGAACCACCCACTGTAGGAGAAGATCAGGTTCGAGACCATCTGACGAACCTGAAAGTGCACAAGTCCATGGGACCTGATGAGATGCATCTGTGGGTCCTGAGGGAACTGGCAGATGAAGTTGCTAAGCCACTATCCATCATATTTGAGAAGTTGTGGCAGTCCAGTGAAGTTCCCACTGACTGGAAAAGGGGAAACATAACCCCCATTTTTAAAAAGGGAAAAAAGGAAGACCTGGGGAGCTACAGGCCAGTCAGTCTCACCTCTGTGCCTGGCAAGATCATGGAGGAGATCCTCCTGGAAACTATGCTAAGGCACATGGAAAATAAGGAGGTGATTGGTGACAGCCAACATGGCTTCACTAAGGGCAAATTGTGCCTGACAGATTTGGTGGCGTTCTACAACGGGGTTACAGCATTGGTGGATAAGGGAGGAGCAGTGACGTCATCTACCTGGACTTGTGCAAAGCATTTGACACTGTCCCACACAACATCCTTGTCTCTAAATTGGAGAGACATGGATTCGACGGATGGACCGCTCAGTGGATAAGGAATTGGCCGGATGCTCGCACTCAAAAGAGTTGTGATCAACGGCTCGATGTCCAAGTAGAGACTAGGGACAAGTGGTGTTCCTCAGGGGTCGGTATTGGGACTGGTGCTATTTAACATCTTTGTCGGTGACATGGACAGTGGCATTGAGTGCACCCTCAGCCAGTTTTCCAATGATACTAAGCTGTGTGGTGTGGTTGACACGCTGGAGGGAAGAGATGCCATCCAGAGGGATCTTGACAGTCTTGAGAGGTGGGCCCGTGTGAACCTCATGAAGTTCAACAAGGCCAAGTGCAAGATCCTGCACATGGGTCGGGGCAATCCCAAGCACAAATACAGGCTGAACAGAGAATGGATTGAGAGCAGCCCTGAGGAGAAGGACTTGGGGGTGTTGGTTGATGAGAAGCTCAACGTGACCTGGCAACGTGTGTTTGCAGCCCAGAAAGCCAACCGTATCCTGGGCTGCATCAAAAGAAGCGTGGCGAGCAGGTTGAGGGAGGTGATTCTCCCCCTCTACTCCGCTCTCGTGAGGCCCCACCTGGAGTGCTGCGTCCAGCTCTGGGGCCTCCAACATAAGAAGGACATGGACCTGTTGGAGCGAGTCCAGAGGAGGGCCAGGAAGATGATCAGAGGGATGGAACACGTCTCCAGTGAAGACAGGCTGAGAGAGTTGGGGTTGCTCAGCCTGGAGAAGGCTCCAGGGAGACGTTATAGCAGCCTTCCAGTACCTGAAGGGGGCCTACAAGAAAGCTGGAGAGGGACTTTTTACAGGGGAGCATAGTGATAGGACAAGGGGTAATGGCTTTACGCTGAAACTAGATTTGATGTAAGGAAGAAGTTCTTTACTATGAGAGTGGGAAGGCACTGGTACAGGTTGCCCAGAGAAGTTGTGGGTGTCCCATCCCTGGAAGTATTCAAGGCCAGGTTGGATAGGGCTTTGAGCAGCCTGGTCTAGTGGAAGGTGTCCCTGTCCATGGCAGGGGGCTTGGAACTAGATGATCTTTAAGGTCCCTTCCAACCCAAACCAATCTATGATTCTATGAATTTCCTCTTGCTTCTTGTGGGCAGTGGATTGGGCTTCAATTACAAAGTGACCCACATGCTGGTATTATGTTTGGGTTAATCTTTCTGCCACTGCTGGATATACATTCTGGTATTCTGAGATGATCACATCTAATTGAAGAGCTGAATTACAGAATAAACATTTGTTCCTTCTGGATTAAAGGTAGTAGTTCACAGCTTAAATTTCCAGGGCTTTTGGATCAGGAAGGGTCCACGATCTGAATCATGACACGACTCCATTTTTATACATGTAATACTTCATTGAATAAATAATTCTGCTTTAAAAAGAGGATATCATATAGCCTGCTGACTTTTGTTTAGAAAATGTATTCCAACATGACTGCAATCTTTCTTGCTAGATTGATCTTCGTGATGACCCAAAAACTCTGGCAAGACTGAATGATATGAAAGAGAAGCCCATATCTGTGGAGCAAGGACAGAAGTTAGCGAAAGAGGTAAACTCGATACTCCTAAATGAAACCAAGTAGCAAAGAAGCAAAAAACCCTATTTCCAATTGAGTTTTTCTTCCTTTACCACTTTGCCCATTTCTTTTACCAGTCAACGTATGAAACCTTATGACTGGTTACCAGTTAACAACATTTACTTACATTGCTGAATACAGCTAACAAGCAGACCTGCGTAATAGCACTTCCCTGTTAATAATAGTTCTAACTTTCTGTGTAGACACTTGTAAAAACTACATAAGCATTAGTCAGAGAGAATTAAAGTCAGAGAGTGGTTGAGGTTGAAAGGGACCTCTCCTGCTCAAGCAAAATGTTGGAGGCATCTTTAAGAAATTACTTGAGAATGCTATACTACCATTTTAACACACTGCGTGGATAATGCTTATCAGGACACTTATTTAGAGAGTCTTATTTTTGAAACATAAATTGGTCATGTAATTCTGTAATTCTTTTTTGCTGTTTAATTATCAAAAATATCTTAGGACCCCACTGCCAATCCAAAGAGCTTATTTAATATGCTTCCTTTAGAAACCAAACCAACTTAAATACACTACAGATCTTTGGCCAAAAGACAAATCTTTTCTCCTACAGGGGGATGCACATGCATATAACTTTTCTAGATCACAGCCAAACATTGTTATGTCACTGTAGAAAAAAAAAATGCAGAAGTACACAGAACTGAACAGCTGAAATATATTGCTATTGAATTAACTTATTTTCTTGACAGATAGGAGCCTACTGCTATGTGGAGTGTTCAGCTTTAACACAGAAAGGACTGAAGACCGTTTTTGATGAAGCTATTATAGCCATTCTAACTCCAAAGAAACACACAGTGAAGAAGAGAATAGGCTCAAGATGCATAAACTGCTGTTTGATCACGTGAGATACATTTGACAATGGCCAGGCTTACTGTGAAATTCTACTGAATTTAAATACAATGCATTAAGTACACAGCGAACTTGTTACGTGTTTGAAAGCTAAAACTACGATTCTGCCTTCTACAACCGGTGAAATCCAGAGGAATAAAATCAAACTCAATGAACTTGTAATAAGAAGCCACCACATCTGTTACAAATATTTTATTCAGACTGGAAGGTACAATCTCTCAGGGTTACATAGTCTAGAGGAAGCAAAAACTGCACCATGCTGAAATGGCGTCTGTGTGATTTTATTGAGTGGAGATGCTTGGCCTGAAATACTCTAAATTAATTTGGATAGTCTTCTGCTTTGGCTATACATCTCTCTCTCTCTCTCTCTTAAAAAAAACCCCAACTTTTGCACAGTCTGTACGGAATCTGCACAAAGAAATACCTTGTCTCTCTTTGCTCCAGTTATCTGCTTTTGTATGTAAGCTGCTTCCGGTTCCAGTGTATCCACAGAGGTGCAATAACCAGCCCAGCCCCATAGCCAAAGGTAGCGCCGAGGGAACAGGAAATGGGCCATACCTGGGGGGAGAACACAAGGTAAAAGCAGACAATGAGGAAAACAACGTTTGTGGTTTTTTGTACTTCCTGAGCACAAATTCTCAGTGTAGTCTAGGTACTGAAAGACAGTGTGGTCTTATTCTACTTTAAAGCTTGATGTGCTTTCCTAAAAATGCCAAAAGTGTAACAATCATCTTCATGAACACTAAATGCTTTTGTACAGTTTTTAATTAATATGCATTAAAATGTAACCAGGCTTCTGGCTATTGCAGACTTCGGTTCAATATTCCCAAAACTATGTGAAAAAAACTTACAGGTATTTACATCCCCTGAAGTGTTCAGCTAACCTAACTTCATGTTCTGCTGCGCACATTCGGAAACCTACAGATTTCTTGATGATTTCTCCTTCCAATCTCTCATGGCGCTCTAAAACTTTTAGAGGTGTGTATAAATGAACTAATATTCAAATAAGGCCAGAGACTGAGATGGATAGAGGGTTTTTCTTTTTTTCTTTTTTTTTTTTTTTTTTTGTCTTGAAAAGTAGGCAAAGGGATGAATTTCCCTCTGGGCAGCCGTAGGAAGGGAACATAAATTTGGAAACTGACTGAACATCTTGCACCCAGTTCAGCAAACATGTAGTAAACCAGTTATGTTAAAGATAGCTTTAATTATAAGCTCTATTTCCTAGTAAAATAACAGGGAACTGACTCAATACAGCTGACTCACTTTCACAAACCATCTAGTACTGAGGCAAAGAAGTAATGGGATTCTCCCCCTGCCCCCCCCCCCTTTTTTTTTAAATTGATATTGATTTGCAGGGAAGAGTGGCCAAAACAAAACTTAACCAGTCTGTCCTCAGGTGAAGCTTGTATTACCAGTCAACTACATATTGCATTTGATGAAAGTCTCAACTAAGTTGGTGATTAAAAATATTTATTGTAGAATAAACCAAATTCCCATCCCTCTTCAAAATTCTCCTTTGCATATTTTTTTTGCAAGGACAATTTCGCACTTCCTGCTGTACAGTGCTTGTTCCTGAAGCAAGTACAGACTGCACTCTCCTATTTTTTTAATTCTTAAATTAAGGGGGATATTTCCACCTTCTACAGTACTTGAGACTGGGAAATGCACTAGACATTAAAGAAAATATCCACATCTCGGTGTCCAGCCTTCTTTTCTACTTCATTATGACTTGCAATTCATGAATATAAAATGAACTTACTCTTAATGGTACTGGTTCCTCCTTTCATTCATTTTCCTAGCTCTGATTCTTCTCTTTACTTCATTATCACTTGGAAAAAGATATTTATTCACATCCTTTGATCATGGGAATTTTAACTAGGAATAAGAGTAACGTATTTTGTTCTCTGCTGTTTCATCTTCACAGTCTCCTCAGCTGTTTCATCTTCACATTCCTTAGCATTTGCAGTTTTATATATTATTTGGAGGTCTTAAGGAGTGTAGCAAAGATGACTATAAACAAGGTGCCTTAGGTACTCTTTACTGACCTTGTTTCATTCTTCCATTTCCGGACATTCTGCCTCTGCTACTTGTTTTTGTTGCTGAATATTTTGGCTGTTGCCTCTCAAACCAAAGACTTGCTTGTTTTCATTCATTTAACAGTGGTATTGTAGATCTTCTATAAAAAGCCTTGAGATGCTTTGGCATGGTAAGATATTATGTATATTTAAAACTCACATGAGTTTGTGGCCTTGGCTAAACTTACGCTTCAGGTGGATCTTTTCAACTTTTAAATAAAATGTAATTAAGTTATTTCTAGCATTTCGCATATTCCACATGTCTAAAGGACAAAATAATAAAAAAGTCCCTGCAACCCCAGCTGCTCACTCAGTAACATTCAGTTGGAACAGGAGTTGTACTTTCTTATCCACTGATGAAGTCAAATACCACTCTAATATCCACAAAACTATGGACAGAGGCTTCATCACTCAGCAGTCTTTTTGCATCAAATTCTCTGAGCAGTCAATGATCCTTCATTAAATATTACCTACATTAGGTGAATCTGTAGTTGCCTATTTGCTTTTCAGAAGTATAGGTGGATGTTGGACCCTGAATTTTTCATATTCCCTTAACTAGAGTCAATATCCCTGATGACCTATTGATGCTGTATCTTTTGGTATTTTGTGTATAGTTGGTATGATTAAAAGGATCTCTGATGATTGTTGTGGCTTCTTTTACCTGACTAAACTGCAACTTGGAACATGGTTTTTCAATAGTTATGCAACTTTTAATATTAATTATGCCTCTGTCTGTCTTTCAAAACATTAAATTTTTGCTTTGGTTTTTAAAAATCAGTGTTACCTTACAGAAGTTTCAGGCTATCTCACTTAACACATGAAGTCTCTGACCTCTGAAATCCAACCCTCACCAATGGCAGCTGACAAAGATAGGGGGGCAAAGGAAAGAAACCATAAAACACTCCATCTCACTGTCTGTGAATGAGACAGAAAAGAAACACCGCCTCATCCCTTCCAGTGGCATAGAACAGAAGGTTACTAGGCCAGGTACTCATGCTTATTACGCTGGTCAGATGGCTCAAAGTAGTTCTGAAGGCAGTCTGACTGGCCTTTTGAAAACTCTCTAAGCACAGGAGTTAAAAGCCTGGACTTAAGAGCATTGCTGTCCTTATGCTATTTTCTCTAACCCTCAAGGCAGGGCAAAAAAACCCTAACAAACAGGTAATGATACTAGTTCTGCACCCTTTATTCTTGAGTGCTGGCCTTTAGGCTACACAGAGCCAGATGCACCCATGGGTCTATCTAAAGCAGCAAGTTATCAAAGACAGATTAAGATGTGGCTCTTAAGCACATCAAGCTGCACTAAAATAACAGCCCTTGCATATGCTTCTTGTCCATCTATGAAAGTGGGTTGCTTTATTTTGCATTAGCTGCTGGCCTCGTTTTTCTAAGACCCAATCAGTTTCTTGGTCTGCTTTTGCCCTGTCTTTCATATTATCTCTTAAACTTGGTTTAGCGTCCCATATGGTATGAACTGCCTTTAAGTGATAAAAATCTAAGCAGCTAATATCCGTCTGCCTGTTCTAAGAGATTCCATTCCGCTTGTTTAAAGCATGCAACTTGTAATAGGGTGTATTACACCTCTCATCCCCTGAGAACTATTCAGCTCAGTTTCTCCTACTTTATGCTCCCTTCCGCCGCGAGGAAGCTGATGTATCCTACCCCAGTACTGATGTCATGTCTAGGCCGGGTCAGCAACAGGGGAATAAGATGTTAGGCAACATCACCTAACTGCACTTTTTTTTGAGGGGGAAGAAGGTTGATCTGGAGAGAAAAGTGTGGGGAGCGCAGGAGGCAGGACAGAACATTCTTCAGGAAACTGTCACGAAACGCCTTGTCTGTCCCAGCAGCTGGGAAGCATCAGCTACTATCCTCACAGCCTAATACAAGAAGAGTCAGTTTACATCTCAAATGCATGTGGGAAAAGTGCAGTTTTAACAACCTGTATATGATTACTAGGAATCTGAACAGCAGCTTGGCAAAAACAAATCTCCGCCTACATGCTTAACAAGGACAAAAATTGCATTTTAAGGGACAGAGCATGAGCCAGTGGTTAATGCAAAACGATCCTGACTTCTGCTATTTGTTTAAATTTTATTTTTGCCTTTTCTTTTCGTCTGGCAGCAGTGATAGGACTTAACAGAGATTTCTTTAGGCTAGCTAAATAGACACGGCAGAACTGCAAGGTTTCTAGTATACATTAGAACTCATTTTAAGAATAAGGACTCACAATAGGAATTGCCAACCTCTCAGGACACAAATGAGCTAGTTTTCTCAGTGCTCTTTAGAACACCTATGAACTGATGCGAGAACGCTTAGCATATTGCATGGAAAGCAGAGCATGTTGCAGGATCCCAGCAGGATATCTAGCTCTGCTGTACTATGCATGTAGATAGTTAAACCAGAATTCTGACTGCATGACAGATTTGTCATCTAAGTCTGTAACTTGCATCCCATGCAATGGGAATTACATAGATGTTGATAAGGACATAAAGGCCAGATTCTTATAGGCCAGAACAGCAACACCCTAATAAAGTTCTCAAAGATATTATAAAGTAAGCAGCTGACTGCTGGAACTTCAGTTATACAAATGCAAATACAGTGGGGCAATCTACTGTAATTTCTTTTTTAAGTAAACTGGTCCCATTCTTTAGAGAAGTGCTTTTCTCATATTCCTAAACTTGATTTTTTTGTATGCTTACTATTTCAAATGATCCATTTCTGACTGTCAATTAGAAAGCTATGTAATAATTTTTGTTTCATTTTAAAACTGAATAAATGAGCACAATTACTTTCTCTCCCTGTTTCTAACATGCCTTAAATTCCTGATTGTTTAGTCTGTACTGTCGTAAAAATTTCAGTACATGCCTTTAATCTATTTTGCTTGCATGCATATGTTAACTAAAAGTGTCTTACCACATTGTACAGAATGCGTGTGTTGACAGGCACATACCGAGGAGAAGAAAAGCGTGAGGCTTTTTTCAGGCTGGCATTTGTAACTAGTAGTTGGTTTTGTGGATTTGTGTTCTAAAGTTATAGCAAGCATAACTGCCTTTGATCTCACCATTGAGGTTTACATTAAGAAAACATATTAAATAAACAATGATAACAACACTAAAGTGGAACAAGCTTCTACCTCTGTTTAAAAAACCTCCAACACTGGATATTATCCCTTCTACTCACGTAAAGCAACTTCTTTTACAACAAAACTTTCACAGTAGGTAGTATGGACAAAAGCAAATACGAGAAAGAAACTTTGAGCTGTGTTAAGAATAAAGTAGTGTGAAAGTTTATAGTCCTGTTTCAGCTTACTCGAGTAACCACCAAGAACTGTACCCAAGATTCTCCAGATTATTTTTCAGGTTACAAATGTCTGAGAGGTATCTAGGCTAATATTTACGGTCATATTGGCTAAATTACATGGCAGTCAATCAATCCATTTGAGTTACATCAGCACTACCTATTGTTTGCTGTATCCAGTAT